ATGGGGGCGGCGCCCTGCCTTGCCTGGTAGGCGTTTGTGGTGTGTGCCGGGACCCGGCACCACCGGCAGGAACAGGTTTGGCCGGCCGAGGGAAGCCTTAGTAGGTCAGCTGGGGTGGAGCTGGGCACGGCTGACGCCAGGGTGCTGCCGGCCCTCCCAGCCCCCCGGAGCTGGTAGTGGCCTGGGTGCTGGTAGTGGTCACAGGCATTGATGCCTGATTGTCGGGACCCTAGCCAGGCTCTGTCATTGCAAGGGGGTCGGTCCTGCCAGGGAATGTGGCTGGATTTGGGGCATGACAGGGGGGCTTTGCTCTGTGGGGCATGGCGTCCTGCTCAGGATGTCCACCCTCTCCCTGTGCCCCAGTGGGGCAGGAGGAGGTGGCTGGGGGTTCACACCCTCGTGAGGTGCTGCCTGTGGGACACTGCCAGTGACTGGCTTTATGCTTAGGGCCTGTAGATACCTCATTTTTGGGGCTGACATAGACAGGGGACAGATGCCTGGGGTGCTGCCCACCTCCAGCTTATACCTGCTGTCCCTGTCCCCGCAGATAGCGAGGGGATCCTTATGCACAACCCCATGAAATGAACAAAGCTCCACAGCCCACAGGAGGAGCCCCGACAGCCCCGCACCCTGCCCCTTCTCCCGGACTGCCGCAGGTAACTGGCCCTTTTGGGGTCTCGGGGGAACCCAGCTTTGCCTCCCTGCTTTGTGCCAAGGGCATTGGTGCCATCTTTTTTCCTCCCTGCCTCTTTCCAGCCGACATTCCCACCCGGTCAGACGGCAGCTGTGGTTTTTAACCCGGCACCGACCTCACAAATGAATACGCCTTCTCAGCCACGCCAGGTAAAGGCTTTTCTCTGGGTTGGAGGGGTTTGTGCTGGGTGGGAAAATCCAGCAGCTTTTTGCCTCCTGGCCAAGTAGTCCCCCTGCTACAGTGCTCGAAGGCCCGTGGTGCTCCCCAGGACTGGTGTATGCCTGCAGTCTAAACCATGACTACTGCCTGGGGACCTCCTAGCCTGGCGGGTGGGGGGCCAGATGCCTCTGGCCAGGGATGCCCAACGAGTGACTGCTCTTCTCTGCTTTCTCCCCTGCCCCAAACCTCCCTCTCCTCTCTCAGTTTCCAGCAGGGCCTCGGGCTATTCACCAGCAGGTACTAACCCAGATCCCCCACCCCGCATGCCGAGCACTCTGCCCCAACACTGCACAGAAATACCCACCCTGGGCATGAAGGGGCTGGGGAGCACGTGGAGACCCCAGAGGCGGGGAACAGGCTCATCCAGGGAAAGTGGGGGATGTCCACTCAACTTGGCCGGGGGGTTTCCCTGCAGTGTCTCCCCAGTTTCCTCCTTGCATGAAGCCTGTAGCATGCAACTGTGCCTGTGCTAACCCTGGCGCAGGCTGTCTCTTCTGCCTGTGTCATTCTTTCTCTTCCTCTTTCCCCCCACAAAGTGTGGGGGGGTAGTCTCCCAAGGCTCTGTGGTGCTATGCAAGGCTCTGGATTTCCATCAGCCCTCTTATGTGGAGGAGCTGTTGGGAATGGATCTGGTGATGTCCTTGGTGTGCTAGGGACCCCTACAAGGGGCAGGGAAGGATCCTTACACGGAATCCCAATGGATTTGGGATGTGGGCCCTAGACAAAGGGCTTCCTGGCCTCTTGTCCCACCTCTACCAGTCACTCTGTGTCCAAGCCCTGTCCCAATGCGGGTAACTCCTGTCTCTCCCCTTTTCCCTCTGTATGCGTGCGCTTGCTAACAGGGAGGATTCAGGTCTCTTCAGGTAATGCTTTCTCCTTGCCCTGGGGTGTGTGCGCGGACCCTTCCTTGCCCACTTGCTGTTGGGCTTGAGCCACTGCTCCTGGGGATGCTCCTGCCCGGCAAAGAAGCTGCATTGGGATGAATGGCACAGGCTGGGGACAGGGGTGGAAATAGCCAGTTGTGCACACTTGCCGTCGAGCTGGGCACAGCGGGACTACAGATCCCAGCATTCAGTGCGAGCGCCGGGAGCCGGTGCGAAGCACGCTGGGATCTGCCGCCGCCGAGCTGCGTGCGGACGAGGCCGGCTCTGGACGCTGGGGCTGCCGGCCCCCCTCC